TTAGTAGTATAAAGAAAAACTGATAAACAAAGAAAAAATCTGAATCAGCTTGAATGAAGTCTTGTTGCTTCAAAGCATCAGTTAACTTGAAATTCCATTGTCTACTTGCCTGCTTTAACTCATAGGGACTCTTCCCAAGCCTACAAACCTGATTCTTTTGATTAGAATTAAAACCAGGTGGAAGAGTCATGTAAACCTCCTCAGATGAATCACCGTAGAGAAAAGCATTATTAATATCTAACTGGTGTAACAACCATCCTTTAGCTGCAGCAACAGCTAATAAAGTGTGAATAGTAGTGACTTTAGCAACAGGAGAAAAAGTGTCTAAATAATTTATACCAGACTATTGAGTATATCCCTTGGTCACTAACCGAGCTTTATACCACCGTTCAATAGATCCATCAGCGTTCTTTTTGATTTTAAAAACCCATTTACATCTAATAAGCTGTTTCTTAGGAGACAATGTAATTAAATCCCATGTTTGATTTTCTACAAGTGCATTAATCTCAGCCTGCATTGTTTCTCTTCAACAAGGAGAAACAATAGCTTGGTTATATGTTTTTGGTTCCTGATCTGGCTTAAAGCAAAGATAAAGGCTTGCTGTTTGTGTGAAATATGGTCATATGATAGGATATTAGAAATATAATGTGGTGAGGATACATTGATTCTGGAGTTCATACCATACACATGAGTCTTTAAGATAAGCCGGTTGCTTTACTTGCATAGTTGACTTTCTAATTGGCAGATCAGGTTGTGACTTTGGATGGGTCAGCTCCTTTGGTGTAAAAGTGATAAATGTGGAGTCATTGTATATAGGAGAAGCAATTAAGGGCAAAGTTGGAGTGGGAGAAGAAACAAGACCAGAAGCGACTGACTCAGACAGACTTCTGTGGTCTGTATCTTCAAATGTGTATAATATTCTGTGACTGAATAGGTTCCTTATTTCATCATTGAAATCTCCTCTTGGAGATTAGCTATTCTAACTACATCACCTTGAGAATATCTATCATGGAGGTCTTTCCATAAGTCTCTCACGCAATCTATCCAAATTACGGTCTGAGCAATAGATGGAGAAATCGACTTCATTATCCAAGACACAACAATCATATTGCACAACAATCATAGGATCGTCTTTACTCGGGACTGGTATTGTACCGTCCACGAACTTCATCTTATTTTTAGTAATCAAGACTATTCTCATTGACCTCAATCACGAGTAAAAATTGTTACCTGTGAGAATGGTTGAAGTCAGCTGAAGCGACGGAATGAATTCACTATAGTTTCTTCAGACGTTGACGGCTCTGTGCTATTAGTAGCTGTATCCATGACTATCGACATGAGAAGTTGAAGTTAGAGAAGTTGAGCTCTGATACCATATTACAGTCTAACATTCATCAAAGTACATAGTTGATGAAGAAAACAACTAGATCAGTAAACACTGAGACAGATCTAGTGTGTGAGTCGAGCTATTGAGTGGAAGTAGAGAGAGTGGAAGTAATGTGTATTTATAAAATAATCCCCAACTTTACGGAAATAATATTATTTACATAGCTACTTACCTTAACATACTCTTAACACAGCAACAAGGTGTAGATTATAATGACACATTTTGAAACTGTTGAGAACTATTCTAGTATTGACTGCACAATTACAATGACCAGTATTTCATTTTGACGTTAAATCTGCATTTTTAAACGAATGACTTGCAAGAAAAGGTGTATGTCACCTAGCCTGAAAGATTCATAGCTGAAGGTAAAATAAGAAAAATTGTACAAGCTATGAATGAACCCAATCTTTTATGTGAAGAATTAAGGTAAAAATGATATTCTAATTATTTGTCTTTACGTGGATGATATGATTTATATGGGTTCTTCTTCTTCTTCTTCTCTCATCAATGGATTTAAAGTTTGCATGAAGGAAAAATTTGAAATATCAAATTTAGGAGAGAGCACTATTTTCTTGGGCTGGAAGTAAAGCAAGTTGAAGATGGTATCTTTATATCTCAAAAAAAATATACTACTGATTTACTTAAAATTTTTAACATATTGAATTACAAAGCTACAACCACACCAATGAATTTAAATGAGAAGGTGCAGGTTGATGGTCGTACTGAACAAACAAATGCAAGAGTTAGAAGTCTAGTTGGTGGCTTAATTTATTTGATTCATACTCGACCTAATATTGCTTTCTCAGTTGGAGTTATTTCTATATTTATGCATTGTCCATCAAAGCATCACTCTGGAGCTACAAAACGGAGTACTGTGATATGTTGATGGAACAATTGATTTTGGGTTATGATATGGTCGTGTTTTAGAGTTCAAATTGGTTGGTTACACCGATATTGATTGGGCTGGTTGTTTGGAGGATTGAAAGAGTACACCTGGTTATGTTTTTAATCTTCAATCAGCTGCTATTTGCTAGAGCTCGAGAAGCTAACTGCAACCCCTTTATCTACATAAGAAGCTGAATATGCAGGTGCTACATCATCAACATGCCAAGGAGTATGGGCTAAGAAGAATTATTGTTGATCTTTGTCAAGAACAAATTGGAGCAACTAAAATTTTGTGCTGACAACCAAGCTGCAATTGCTATGATGAAAAATCTAGTATACCATGGAAGAACAAAGCACATAGATATCTGAGTTCATTTTATTAGAGATCTTGTGACAGATAATTTAGTCAAATTAGAGTACTGTAGTTCAAATGAACAAGTAGCTAACATTCTCACAAACGTGACAAACATGTCTACTTCAGAATCTACTTGGTGTTTGCAACTTTAAATCAAGGGAGAGTATTGAAGACTGATTCAAAATTGACAACTGGATATTTGACTAACTTTTTGATTTGTTAATATATTTTATCTGCTAAAATTTCTTATGTTTTGTTAGTAGCGATAGACTTTGACTTAGTGGCAGATTACTCTGCTATTTTTCTTTTTTTTTTTGCTTTCAGTTAAGTTGTAAAACCTATTTGAAGTCGTTTCTGGTTGTTAAACAAATTATCTATTGCACCAAAAGTTCCAGCAATAGTTCATACTCATTACATGATTGATTAATTTTTTATTTTGCTGTTGCTATTATATATAGATATATTACTAAATTCACTACCATCACAATATATACACTTATTTATATATATGTATACAAAATTATTATTACACTTGTCGATAATTTGTGAGACAGAGACGTTAACCATGTTGAAAATTGAGTTTTCTATGGAATAAGGAGATGATTTTTGTCATTTCAGTCATATATTTACTGTTTTTATTTTTATTTTTTATTTTTTTCATTGACAGTTTTAGTTAATAAATTGTCAAATAGGAACGAAGCTTCTTGATTTGTTTTGTTTTCTGCTCCTTACTTTTCTAATTCAATTATGTTCTGTAACAAAGTTGGTAGGATTAGTTCATGAATTAAATCAATAAATTTTTTCCTCCACTTTTTATATATATATATATACACACACACACACGTATATATATCAAACTAATAGAAAAGTGTTGGCAATTGAACACTTTCATAGCAGAAAACTCCCTTAATTTTTTTCTTATAATTTTTCCTCTTCATATTCTTCCATTTTTTAGGAATTTAATCAACTCATCTTTCAACAGTAGTATCAAAACTACTGTTCGTGTGGGTTGTACGAAGCTAAGTAAGCTTGTTATTTGATTAAACTTCATCAAGTTGGCAGAGAATGGCCATGACTGTAAATTTATCAACATCACTAGTGTTTGGAGATAATTATGATTATTGGGCTGTGAGGATAGAGTTATAT